CATGGGAGCACCCAGGCTCTCAGCCTGGAATGAAGGCCCAGGGGAACGTCACATCCTCAGCTACCCCTGCAGCGAATGAGGAAATATAGAGATAGGAAATGTGCTTGTGATCCTGTCACTGGGATATGCAAATAAAATATATAGGATAGGCCTATCTGCCTAATATTCCTGCCAATTCATTCTCTGGGTGTGATTAAAACGAGCAATAAATTTCTGGTGAGTCTCGGTGGAGTGAGGATCGGGAGAGGAGACGCTTGGGCTGGCACACGCGTCCCCCTCAGCTGAATATTCATCATGGGAGAGCTCCCCATATTTTTGTTTTATCTGCCATCATGTGCATGGAGATATATTTCTACCTCTCTTTCATCTCTTAGTTAGGACATGAAAATGGTGTGGCGTTAAGTATTAAACTCTCCATCTACGGAAGCTGTTCAAAGTGAGATTCAGGCTACCTCCTCTATGAAGCCTACCAGGAGCAGGGGGAGGCATGGTTTCCTGAGGCCCCCACTAATTCTATGGGGACCTCTCCCTCTCCTAAGCACTAGCTCACAGCTGAGAGCACTGGCTTCTCCCACCTTTGGGTCTTCTCCAGGGGACTAAGAAGTTTTGACTCAGTACACAGCAAAAGAAGTGAGGAAATCCCAGTGAAGGAGAAACCATTCAGGCCACTTACGGTGAGAAAGATTCTTAGGGTGAGTGACGCACTTTAAGTGGCAGAATGAAATAAAAAATTAGGCTTATGGATAATTTTTAAATGTAAAAATTATGCATACTATTAAGTGAAAAAAAGATTCCAATGTAGGACAAGGTCATACATACCCTCAACCTCCATTTTTGGAAAACTCTGGGTGGGTCGATTAAGACATGGCTACCAGCTGCCAGTCTGAGACCTGCGACACATATAGCAGGCTACCAGCGGGTTTAAATAAAAAGGATATTGATATAAAGGTATGTGATATAGCCCAGAAAGAGCTAATACATTAAGTATCACAAGAGTAGATCTCTACTTAAAATCCTAATAGGCAATTTAACAACTTGATTTTTGCTTTTTTTGTCGCTGTGGTACTGGGGAATGAACACAGGGCCTTTGCACTGGGTTATATTTTTGAGACAAGGCCTCACTAAGTCCCTCAGCCTAGTACGACTAGAATGCTTTTCCTTGAGATTTAACTCAGTTGCCATTTCTTCCAGGAAGTCTTCCTTGATCAGTCACACCACTGACCAGCCGTGGTGTCATGCTTCACTTGCCTGTCTCCCCACCAGACTGTGAGCTCCTGGAATGTCTTACTCATCCGTCTTCTTCCATTTAGCCCAGAGCCTGGCACACAGCTGTCATTTGTTAATGTGCAGCACATCATTCAATTCTCTTTATCTTAACGTTCTCTATTTCTAAATCTTCTATGATGAGACATATGACGTTAATACTCAGAAATTTTCAATAATGAGCATGATTGAACTAGAGTGTGGTAGGTGATGGAGGAGGCTAAGCTGAGGAGCTGGGGCATTGAGAGGGACAATAGGAGAATCAGACAAGATCAGAGTGGCAGTCACCCACATCTAGACAAAGCCAGGGGAAGAGGCCTCACAATTGGAGCCTTGGTGGCCGCCATGCCTGATTCACTGTTACAGATGCAGGGGAAGCTGCTGCTTATTGGTAGAAGATGACAGAACCCAGGTTTGAAACTGTTCTTCCCACAAAAGCCTGCCTTAAAGGGGTAGCTTGTGTAGCTTGGTGAAAAAAAGCAGAGCAGAAAGAATGGGAGGATAAGTTACGTGAATAACTGAGAAAGACTATATGGCTGACACTGAGGGAGAGAGCCGAAGTGGTTCCTACAGGCAAAATCCCGGCGAGGACAGCAGAGCAATTAGGTGCAAATACTGAGGGGATACTTGGACACTGAGGACAAGGAAATCCTGACAGTCTGAAGGGATCAAGAGCACAGAGGTGACAACAGATGAAATGGTCTTCCAGCTGGGAGGTTATGGAGCCCCTGGCTGGCTTGCGGCAGTCTTCTAGCCTCTAAAGGCAGCCCCTTCCAAGGAGGGCCAGCTTGGTTAGGGCTACTGCCCAGTCAGCCTGCTCAGTGCGAGCTTTGCCACGGAGTGCACCTCTTGTCCTCTCATGCAGAGCTATTCTTGCGCCTAAGCACAGCCTCTCCTCTCCAGGGCAGATGTGCCTGCTGTCTTCTTCAGCTTTTTCTCACGGCACTATTCATCTTGTCACCTTACTGCCCAGCCTGACACAGATTCAAAACACTCAATGTGTGATAAAAAAAAAGTTTAAACTTAAAAAATTACATATATAAAACAGTAAAAGACATTGCCATTAATCCCCTCAAAACACTCCCCCTGGCTTTGAACACACTTATTCCAATGTCTTGCCACTTTGTGAAGCAGTCCTGGACATTCTCTTCATAAGTGCCTTTAGGTGTGCTTTCGTGGCTGCCTCAACACCCTGAACTGATTCAAAACGTTTACCTTTCATGGTCTTTTGACTTTGGGGAAGAGCCAGAAGTCGCTTGTCAGATCCACTGAATAAGGTGGATAAGGACACACTGTAATGCTTTTATTTGACAGAAATTGCTGTAAACGTAATCGTAAACTGCTTCAGAAAGTGGGAAGAATGATAGGCTAAGTACTCAAAGCAAAGGGGAATGTTCTGAAGGGGATTAATGGCAATGTGTTTTCTACTGTAATAATTTAAAATTTTAAAATATTAACCATACTATTTGATCACACCCTGTATAATATGTCATCTGCAATAGCCTTTTACGCTCCAGAAAGCTCTGACTTACACAGGATATTGCAACCACTACATTTTCACTCTGGACATTAGTCTTATAATAATGTGGCCCATATCAACCCACTTCCCTTGGGCAGCCAAATTTTTTTAAGTGTCCCTCAGTAGCTCTCACCCCTTCACCTGTGCTGGAATGAAGAGGCCTGTTCTCTTGCTTTACACAGAGGCCAGCACTGGCTCTGCATCACACCTCCCGATGAGCCATGAGCACGCGTGGCCAAGTCCAGTGCTTGTCTCTCGGGACAGCAGCCAAGGGTAATGGGAGACGAAGCTGGCTATCTGAAACTGCCAGGGATTTTCCCTAGGCACCTGGGGAAGCCAACCGGGCTTTCTGGACTGTTCCTAGGGCTGGGGATCTGAGCAAAGGTGGTGGTGGGGGAAGCACTTCGATGTGATCACCAAATTTCCAGCTCTTCTCTTCTAGGATTGTAGTGGGATTTTCTTGGTCTCCTTATGATTCCGTGGGATCAAGGAACTGGTTCTGGCCAATGAACTGTGAGAACTGAAGAGTTCTACTTCCAGGTTGAACATTTAATTACAGAATTAAGCCCCTCCACAGCATTCTTTTTCCTCTGATGAACGAACAGCAATATTCCACAGGTGGCTCCTCTGCCAGCCAGGATCCCTGAGTACTTGTGATAAGCAGAGCCTGCCCTTTCCCCTCAAAAGCAATGGACACGCAAAAACCTTTACTGTTTTAAACCACCACAGTGTTTGGTTGTTACAGCAGCATAATCTAGCTCTATCCTGACTAATACACAGACGACCATACATTGAACTGAACTTTAGAAACCACTGAGAACCACTTTCATGACTGAAAGTGATAGCCTGAGGTCATGGAGCTAGGAACAGAACCCAGGTCTCTCCTGTCTCAGTCTAGTGAACTAAGTACTCTGGCCAAAGACAGACACTAGGTAGGACCTGCACTTCAGCCAATTTATGGATCATCCCATGATCTAGAATATAAGACTGAGGGTCAGAAGCCAGGTTGCTCAGGTCTAGTCCTGCCACAGAATCTACCCCATGACCTTGTAAAGCCTATTAATTTCAGTTTTGATGCTTACTCAGCAAAGTAAGCCAAATAACATCCCTGGGCCCCAACTTCTCCAGGAGTGAAATGAATCAGTTGACTTAAGTTTCAGAGATTTAAAACTCATGCCCCCTGCAGGGAAGGAGAGAAGGGGATGCAGCATGGGCAGTGGTCTGGGCTATCTTCCCTTCCACCAAAACAGCTCAATTTCTGTCTCTGTACTTTTGTAAGATTTCCCATCATTCGACCTGAAGACTTTTCAGGTCCTTGGCAGCTGGAATTTGTGATTCTAGTTCTTGGATTCTGCCCAGTTGTTCCTGAGTTACAATCTTATGGCAGAGAGAAGCAGGAGACTTAGTCTTGTTTTCAGAAAGTTCAAAAGTTTGACTGAGAAGATCAAATTAAGACAGATTTTTTTTTGGGGGGGTGCTCAGATTTGGTACCAGGCTTTGGTGTATATATACTTGTGGGGTGTGAAAGACGGGTTCTGGAAGGAGTGATTACGAGAAAGGACGCCTAGTGAAGCTGCACAGTACATGAGGCCTAGGGAATACTCTGAGCTCAAGATTTTATCTTTTTTTTTTTTTATTATTTTTTTTAAATCTTTTTGAGACAGGGTCTCGCTATGCAGTTCAGGCTGGCCTTGAGCTCACTTTGTAGCCCAGGCTGGCCTCAAACTTGCAAAGGTTCTCCTGCCTCAGTCTCCAAATGCTGGGATTACAGTTGTATGCCACCACCCTGGCTTCAAGATTTGATCTGGCTAGTCCCTTCTTCTGAAAAGCTGGGAGGCATGTCCTCAAACCTTAATTGGAAGGTTAATTCTCAGAGCCCAAAAGTGGCCCAAGCTTCTCCCTATCCCTGGTCATGAGAAGGGCAGTGCTCTAAGCTTGATCAAACTAGGGGCCGGATTTATTTTATTTTTTTAAAAAACAGGGTTTCGCTATGTAGGCTGGCCTTAAATTCCCAGGCTTTAAATTCCCAGGGATCCTCCTGCCTCAGCCTCTGAGTGTTGGGATTATAGGCCTGTGCCACCACACCTGACTCTGGATTTGTATTTAAACAGACAACAATCACCTATGGAGAAATAGTGCCATTAGGTGTGAAGTCAGACCTAATTTAGTAAGTGAAAAACTAAATGACACCCACAGGCCTCTTTTGTCTGAGATTTACCTTGGCCTCTGAAGTCCTCAGAAGTTTCATTACTTCCCCTTCTCGGGCATAATCCAACGGTGTGTGTCCCATTTCATTCCTCTGCAGGGGGTTGGCTCCTAGTAGGAGAAGAAGAAAGAACAGTCAGGGGTCCTACAAGTGACCAGTGGGACCTCAGTCTTTGCTTACAGATGGTTTGAGGCCCTGATTTCAGTGTGAGGAATGTCATGGAAATGTATGACACTGTAGAATGGTAGGAAAAAACAAGCTGAGCTACTTTGGAGGGAGAGCTCTTGGTCCTCTCTGGCAGAGGTCAGGGTACTCGGGATCCTACAGGTATACACTCACATGTGCAGTAACATACTTTCCACAGAGAGGTGCTACCATGCAAATACGTTATGTACACACAGGTAAACATGCCAAGGAAATACATCCAAACAAGTACACATATTCACATACTCAGCACAAGTACATGTCAACACACAAAGTCATACATGCATTCACTAAAATGTTGACATTTTCTAACCCATCTATAAACAAACGTTCACTCACAAGGCCACTTAAGAAGTTCCTTAAAGAATATTCCTAATAGCAGTGAAAAGGCCTTTCTTCGTCTCTCTGTCCTTTAATGCTCTCCTATCTCTGGTCATTTCCCACTAGCTGGGGTCAATCGAGTCCCATGGACTCACGAGTGACCTGGTTCTGCCACTCCAGCTGTTGGTGAGTTATGTGTATGTGGGTGGGTGTTTCCCCAGCCATTACTTCCTGTGATCTGAGGACAGAGAATTCCAAGTATGACAAAAAAAGGAAAGCTGGGGCCACTTATCTACACTCCAAGTGCGGACGGCAGATAAGCTGCTATAAGTAAGCCCCGTGACATCGGAGGAAAGGCTCCCCTGATCTTTTGTGCTGCCAGAATCTCCTTCCTACAGCCTAGGCTTGAGCAGCTCACTCCCCTCCTCAACCACGGTCCATTCCAATTCATTCCATTCCACTCCATTCCACTCCACTCCACTCCACTCCACTCCACTCCACTCCACTCCACTCCACTCCATTCCATTCCATTCCATTCCATTCCATTCCATTGTGCTAACTGTGAAGGTGTGGGGCATAGGGTACAGAAGAATCAGATCTGGTCTTGCCCTAAAGGCATTCCTCTCAAGAGAGGAAGGCAGAAAACTAAGAAAGTGGAGCTTTGTACACAACAAATGCTCAATAAATGTGTTAAACTGAACAGTAAGGTAATAACTACCTAAAGGCATTCCTTAAGCTGCCTTTTTGCTAGGGAAGTGTCCAGAAGTAAATAAGGGTTAAGAGCCAGTCTCTGCCATAATGACAGAGAGGGCTGGCTGGGGAACCTACTTAGCGTGAAGCCTGGCTCAGCGTGGTGCCCAGCCACTATTTGTTGAGGGACAATAAAAACCAGTGTTTCCAAATCCCAGTCTGTGCAAACACTTATATCATGATATAAAATGCTAAATAAAAGGAAAAAAGAAAAGAACAAATGCCAGGCGTGGTGGCGTATGCCTGTAATCCCAGCACTTGGGAGGCCAAGGCAGGAGGATCTTTGCAAATTCGAGACCAGCCTGGGCTACAAAGTGAGCTCAAGGCCAGTGTAAACTGCATAGAGAGACCTTGTCTCAAAAAGACCAAAAAAAAAGAAAAGAAAAGAAAAAAAAAATATAAAATGCTTCCTACTCAAAGTCTCTACTTCTTCTTCTTCTTCTTCTTTTTGGCTTGAAATAGGGTCTTGCTATGTAGTTTAGGCTGGTCCTGAACTCACTATGCAGCCCAGGCTGGTCTCAAACTCACAGAGATTCTGATTCTGTCTCAGTTTCTTAAAATAACCTATAAACTTAACAAGACTAGTAAACATTTATTAAGTACTTGAACGTGGCTATCTGCCTGAGCCGAAGAGGAGGCCAAACCTCTACATGGTGTGAGAGGACAAAGGAGAAGGGCAGAGGGTACAATTTAGCAAGTACAATTTAGTACAATTTAGCAAAGAAAAGTTTTCTATCAATAAGAAAAAAATTAATACTTTTACACATGACTGTACTTTCTATCAGGAATTTAGTATAAAATATTAATACATATTATTTTTATTGATACAATTAATATGCCATAAAATTAAACCTTTAAAAATAATGCAACTCAGTAGTCTGGAAATATACTCACAAGGTTATGCCTCCCCCCACCACTACCTAATTCTAGAGCATTTCCATTCCCCTGAAAAGAAACCCTGTTATCAGACACATCCCATCCCCCTAGCCCTGGCAACCAGTGGCTTACTTTCTCTAGGAATCTGCCTATTCTCCATATAAATGGACTCATGCAATATGTGGCCTTTTGTGTCTGGTTTCTCTTGTTTAGCATGTTTTCAAGGTTCATGCATGCTGTAGCATGGCTGAATAATATTCCATTCTGTGAACAGACTATATTTTGTTTATGCATCTTACCAGCTGATGAAAATCTGGGCCATTTCCTCTTTTTGGCTGAGGTACTGTATAAGTCTTTGTAGAATTTTTTTTCTTTTTTGAGACAGGGTCTTGCTATGTTGCCCAGGCTGGCCTTGAGCTCCTGGGCTCAAGTGATCTTCCTGACTCAGCCTATCGAGTACCTGGTGCTACAGTTGTGCACCACTGAGCCTGGATCTGGATGTAGGTTTTTACATCAATTGAGCAGATATCTAGGAGTGCTGATAATAATAACAGCACTGGTGCTTCCTGAGCACTTACTATGTGCCAGATAACATGCTTTGCACTTAGCATACATTTTATCATTTCATCTTCACAATCACCTTGAGGGGTAGGAATTAAAATCGCAAACTACACACATGGAAACTGGACTCAGAGAAGTGGAATAACTAGCTCAAAGCCACAAAACTAGATTTGCTTGAACCAAGAGTCAACCAGGTTTTTCCAACTCTAATTCTCCACTGTCTCACCAGGGTGACCATGACACACCCCTGCTGAAAAACCCTTCAGTGGTCTTTCAGTGTTTAGAGAAGGAAGTACAGCCTTCTAGTAAGGAGGGTGTCCTAGCAAGGAGGTCTCCCTAATGAATGGGCAATTCCTCAGAGGCTCAGTGGTGACCTGTTTCTTTCAGATTTGCTGGCCCTTCCCGGGAACTTTATGTATGCAGGATTCTGTATGCAGGGTGAAGGAGGACTGGTAAGGCCAAAAAACAGTATTCTTTTTTGTATTTCTTGACAACTCTCTGGCACCTGACACCTTGACCACTCTCTTCTGAGTTTTGTAAAACCATTTCCTGGGTCTTCCCCCAACTCTCATGACCAGTCCTTCTGCCTCTTTTGCAGGCTCTTTTTCTGGCCTTTAAGATTAGGTCTGCTTAGAGTATGAGCCCAGCACAACTCTGGCTCTCCAGGGGTGGTGATGACAAATGAGCAGAGGGTAACAACGTGGCTGAGGGTAATTAGTGTGTGGAAGAAAGGACGGACAGCACCGTGGGCACTCAGGAGGGGAGAGGCTCAGAGGCTTGTGTGCCTGGCCTTGTTCTCTCCTTACTGGGCACTGCGAGGGCAGAGTCAACAGTGCCAGGGCATCCTCCCCTCTCCACAGGGCTCCTGCAGCACAGCTGGGGCAGAAGGGGCCACAATGAAGTGATGGAAAGGCCTCTCCTTTCTCTGGCAGCCGTGAGGGAAGCTCTGTTATGAGATACAGTCTGGAGTGAAGGGGGGATTAGGAGTGACCTCTGGAAAGGAAAGAACAGCAAAGAGAAGAGAGGAGAAAAGGGAAGAGAGAGAGAAATGGGAGCGAGAAGGGGAGGGGGAGAGGAGAGGAGATGAGAGAGGAAGACAGTGGAAGAGAGAACAGAGGGTGAGATTAGCTGCTTCAAACAAGTGCTGTCAGTGATCTATATTTGCTTACAGAATGAAAAATGTGTGCCATAAACATTGGCCACTGAGTAATTTCTAGTAGGAGTCGTGTCACTTCTCATAAAGCATGGGATAGGGACAGGTAGGACATCTCTGCACCTCGGCCAGCTAGCAAGGCACTCCTCTTAAAGCAGTGTCCCCACAAGGGCTCCTCCTAAAGCAGCGTTGGGCATGTGTCCAGCCCAGGAGGCTCTCGGGTCAGCCACCCATGGAGGGAAGCCAGCGGGGCTGCCCAGGGCTCTAGAGCCTCAGGGCAGCACATCTGCCCCCACTGTAGGAAGGCTGAGGCGGGGCACCATGGATAATGTCCATCTAATATTACTCCCCGGCTCTATACCCTCACTCTGACTTGACTAATTGCTGTAATAATTGATAGAACCTGACTTCCACCACTGATCGATTTCACCTCCACGACCAACGGCCACAAACCATTACACTCCAATAAATAACCACGTTGGACCTCACCCGGCTGCCCTCTCCGGGGGCATCGGGATGGCCCATGCCCTGGCCTGACCTCCCCTTGCCTCCCACCCAGGGCCCCTACGGGCCAAGCAGCTGGTCTAGAGGGCCAGGCCTCTGGGAGCAAGTGAGAGGGCTGGACTGAGGTGGGAAGTGCTAATCGCAGGCCATCCGTCACCTCCCACTGGCTGTCTGGGGCTGGGGCAAACACCTGGAGCACCCTAGGCAGTGTGGTGCAGGACCCCTCCCTTCTCTCCTGCTCCAGATTAGTGTGTCCCAGCTTATAATATTTGATAAATAGCAGACTGGCTTCCTGGCAGCATTGCTGCGGCTGCGCCTGCCCGCTACAGCTGTGGAAGGTCACTCATTGGGGAAATATGTTTCTGTCAGTGGTATTGAAAAAAGTTTAGTGGAGTGACAGGCCTCAATTTTTCAAATTTTATTAACTCTATCCTCTTAACCATTTGTCTTGAATTCCTTCAGATTCTGGGGGATCTGTCAATAGGGGCTGGACCAGGAAAGTAGGGCGGGGGTGGTGCTGGTCATGGGGCCACTGTGGCTGCTGGGCTCTCACTGCCAGGGTAGGCTGAGAGAGTGGAATTTGTGTTGAGAGAGAAGACCTGGCTCTTTGGTGCTCTGAGAGCTCACCGCTCTTCCAGTACAGTGCCTGCCTCTGATTTGACACAACCACAGATGCTCCAAGGGGAGCAAGATGTTCGTGGTGAGCTCTAAGAAGACACATGCATCTAATGCATCTGAAAC